AATTTGGGATCTCTTGGAATCCAGGGATGAAGCTCAGGGTGTCCCCTGAACAATCCTGATCCCATTCCAGCTCGGAATTCCCAGAATTTGGGATCTCTTGGAATCCAGGGATGAGGCTCAGGGTGTCTCCTGAACAATCCTGATCCCATTCCAGCTCGGAATTCCCAAAATCCAGAGCTCTTGGAATCCAGGGATGAGGCTCGGGGTGTCCCCTGAACGATCCTGATCCCATTCCAGCTGGGAATTCCCAGAATTTGGGATCTCTTGGAATCCAGGGATGAAGCTCAAGGTGTCTCCTGAACGATCCTGATCCCATTCCAGCTGGGAATTCCCAGAATTTGGGATCTCTTGGAATCCAGGGATGAGGCTCAGGGTGTCTCCTGAACGATCCTGATCCCATTCCAGCTCGGAATTCCCAGAATTTGGGATCTCTTGGAATCCAGGGATGAAGCTCAGGGTGTCCCCTGAACGATCCTGATCCCATTCCAGCTGGGAATTCCCAGAATTTGGGATCTCTTGGAATCCGGGATGAGGCTCGGGGTGTCCCCTGAACAATCCTGAGCCCATTCCAGCTGGGAATTCCCAGAATTTGGGATCTCTTGGAATCCAGGGATGAAGCTCAGGGTGTTCCCTGAACAATTCCAGCTCGGAATTCCCGAAAATTCCCATTTTTTTTCCCCCTCCAGGAGTTCGTGGTGACGGCCCTGAAGAGCTTGGGCTTCCCCACCCTCATGTGCGGCGACGGCACCAACGACGTGGGCGCCCTCAAACACGCCGACGTGGGTCAGCATTCCCGGCATTCCCGGGGAATTCCCGCCTTTCCCGGCCTGACACCAAAAGCAGGGCTCTCCTCCTCCTTTTCCGGCCTTTTTCCCCCCCAAAATTCCCTGATTTTCCCGGGTTTTTTCCCTAAAATTCCCCGATTTTCACAGTTTTTTTCCCTAAAATTCCCTGATTTTCCTGCCTTTTTTTCTCCCAAAAATTCCCTGATTTTCCTGCCTTTTTTTCCCCCCAAATTCCCTGATTTTCCCAGGTTTTTTCCCTAAAATTTCTCGATTTTCACATTTTTTTTCCCTAAAATTCCCTGATTTTCCTGCCTTTTTTTCTCCCAAAAATTCCCTGATTTTCCCAGTTTTTTTCCCTAAAATTCCCTGATTTTCCTGCCTTTTTTTCCCCCCAAATTCCCTGATTTTCCCGGGTTTTTTTCCCTAAAATTTCTTGATTTTCCCATTTTTCTCCCAAAAATTCCCTGATTTTCCCGGGTTTTTTCCCAAAAATTCTGTGACTTTCCCAACTTTTCTTCCCCTAAAATTCCCTGATTTTCCCAGTTTTTTTCCCCGAAAATTCCCTGATTTTCCCGGTTTTTTTCCCTAAAATTTCTTGATTTTCC